TACTTTTGAATTGTTTCCTAATTTCAATAAAACTTCACTATATATTAAAAAAAAATTCTTTTCTTATATTTCAAAAACTAATCTTCCTCCTAATAGAAATAATTCAATAGCAGATTCGGGCTCAACATCGAAAATTACCCTCAGAAAAAAGTTTTATGCAACAAAAAGTTGAAGTTGGTCACATATCAATAAAACTTTTTTTTGAATGTAGAAAGTGTTTTAGCAAAATTTTTGTAAACTAATGTTATCGGCAAGCTAAATTTTTGACACAGCTATAAAAATGTAAAATATTTACTGTTCTTACTAGAAAATGCATTGTTGAATTGATTTTTGGAAAATTAACCATCAAATAATTAAAAATATATATAAATTTCTTTCTAGCATCCGCGCGATATTGTCTATCGTCAACATTCCCGAAATTGATCTTCGCGGACGCAGATTCCGTTGAGAATCTGGTGGAAGCCGCAAAGGAAGATAATCTAGAAATTGAAGTCATAGTTATTGACAGTTTAACAGGATTCGTGTCTTTGACGGATATTTTTCAAGATCAAGTTAATCCGTTAGAGATCGATGAGTTCCGTTGTAGTCACGATAACCTACATGACATAGCCATGATCTGCTTCTCCGGTACAACGGGTATGCCAAAAGAAGCTGAACTATCTTAAGTATCCTTTTACAACAGTATTATTCCTCAATATTGAAGAGATTCACATAATCTATGTGATATTATCAATGCCTATGATACAATGGCACTACGGATTAATTCTGATATTCAAACTGGTTATATCAAATGCGAAATGAATCATTACTTTAGCAGAAGTAGCTTTCAAGGACGAAATAGGCAAAATTATTCAGGATTGGGGAAAAATAAATGTAGCAGTTCAAAACATGGAATAATTCAATTCTTTTAAATACGCAATTAATATAATTTCGCAAAACTGACTCCAATCAAAAAATTCTGTTGTTTATGTTTATCAATTTTTAAACATGCACTCATTAAAAAGCATTCCTATACATTTTTTCAATCTTTTGTGAATATGTACATAGTATAATAATCACGGAATATTTTTTTATTTATAAAGTCTAATATATAAATTTTATTCTTTAAAGTGTGTTTAATATATAAATTCTATTGAAAACTTTTTCCAATTTTTTGCTTTTTTTCTAATATTGTTTTATTTCTTCGTGTGTCCCTAAATTTTAAAACTACTTACTTTACTTTCTTTTGTGTTTGTTCATATTAAAAATTAATTTGTTACTGTTATTGAATAAAAGTTTTAATAACTATAATTTTTCAACTATTTCTCAGGTAACATAGCTTGGAGCTGATATTTTGTTTCCATACATTTTATTCAAATATAATATTTTACAAAAATATCCTATGCTATCTCTGAAAAAGCTCGTCATTATCGATGGCCATTTCTAAAGAAAATACAAGAAGCTATTGCAAAAATGATGCCACATACCCAAATATTAAATTGTTACGATAAGAATCATTATTAAGTTAGCTGAGAGATTATTCGATATATCAAAATGCTGTAATATTTAAAAAAAATATCAGACAAATAATCATAAATATCATAAGTTAAATAATGCTATAAAATCAAAAATGTTTTATATTTGTTTTTACAAAAGTATTCTAAAAAAATAAAATATTATTACGTCAAACATCTTTCCTTCTAAAAAATTGTTAATTATCTGAAAGTATTTCCCCAGGCTTGACTGATGCCGGAGGATTGTGTGTAAGCCAAGCAAAAAATAGTAAGCTAGGTTCTTGCGGCTTTGTGACCAAGAGATTAAAGATAAAAGTAGTGGATGAACAAACTGGGCAAGCTTTAGGACCTAACAAGACTAGTGAACTTCGTATAAAAATCGGAATTTATATAATGAATGGTTATCACAAAAATCCAGAAGAAACTAAAAATGTCATCGATTCAAATGGTTAGTGTTACAATAATAAAATGACATCTACTATTATAATGATATCTTTTAATATTTAATCTATAAAGATTATTTTTTATTTTACATGTTTTTATTGTAATAGGTAAAAATAGAAAATATTTTTTACATGCCAATTATTCTTATATTTATAAATCTTTATTCTCTCTTTTTTCTCTCTAAAAGAATACATTTTTCTTTGTTATAACGACCAAGTGAAAAAATATTAAGGAAAGTAATTTTATACATAGGTATAAATCTAAAATAAATCTGAATAAAACATATCTTATTTACGCACATAGATTGACTGCATACAAAAGACATATGTACGACAATAAAGGAAAATTTATTTCGTTAGGCTTTCGGATTTTATTAACTACAGAAGCATTAAGCTGTCATCCGCGGAAATAAAAGATATTCTTGAAATGCATCCTTCAATTCTCAAGGCCGCAATAGTTCCAGTACCACATGAAACGGATATAGAACCACCCAATGGTATTTATTCAAAAAGTAATCGGAAAAGAGGTAAATTACAATTGCATGATTTATTTTAAAAAATTAAGTTTCTTTTAGAAAATATATACAAACCTTTCCAAAAAGTTTTTTAAAAATAATTATATATAATAAAAACATAAAAAACATTGCTATTTATGATTAAAACTCTTTTATTAAGTCTGTTAGTTTGTCATACCGTTCGCGTATGAACCCAACATTTTAATTTCGAGAAAATGTAAAAAAATCAAGAAAATATTGATTTATTTTTCAGGTAACAGAGAAAGAATTGCATGATCTAGTAGCTAACAATTTACCAAACTATTGTAAGCTTATCGGAGAAATCAAATTTGTGGACAAACTTTCGCGTTCTCACTACTGGAAAAATTAATAAAAAACAATTAAAATTATTAGCAAAAAATTATGCCAATTAAATTTCAAAAATATTATACATTTCTTACAAGTAAAGATATCAAGTAGATATAATATAATATAAATTATCTTTGAAATAATGATAACACTTGCGAAAGAAATATTACTATCGAAATATATCGATTAAAACAGTTTGTTACAGATTTCTTTCTCCCACCTGCTAAAAGACCTCCAGCAATATCAGATTAAATTAGATTAGATTATTTTTGACTCATTTAATAAAAGTATTGATAATATTAAATATATACAAATATGGAACAATTAAAATTAAAAAAGCCAAAGATTAAATTGATTCCTAACAATTTGATTACGTTTTTTTACTATTCCCCATGTATCTTCAATATCGGAGAACTTCAAAAGATATTTTAAAAAAACAATCAAGCAGTGCATTTGGTCTATATGTAAGATTTAATAAATTAAGTTCCTTTATAAAAGCACAAAAGAATAAATTATCTTCACTATTGCATTCTAGTATTGTCTACAAAATTAATTGTCAGAATTAAAATTATGCGTCTTATATGGGCCAAATGAAACGGTTATTACAAACATGCAATAATAAACATCATAATCATATAAATAGAAACAACACTCAGTGATCACAAAACATAGAATTGAGCACAATCATCAGTTTGATTGGAATAATGTCAAAAATTTAGATAAAAAATAAGTATTCATAAAAGATTAATGTCTGAAACTATTCATATCAAACAACAAAAATATGTTCAATTATGTCAGCTATTATTGACATTATTTTGTCCTTTATTGATATCAATATGAATTTTTGTACGACAACATAATGAAATATATAAATTACATAACAAATGAATAGAAAACATTAAGACGGATCTCCATCTAATAATATTTTTTGTGAATTTATATATACAATTGAACCGGAAATTGTACAAAAAATAGTTAGGCACGAAGATCCGCCTTGACAAATACATTTTTCACTCACTTATGTTTAACATTTCATTGATTGATTTTCGCTTAATTGTATAATGAATTATGCACACATAAACTATAAGTGAAGCAGATTAATAATATCTGCATATTATGTTATGAAATGTATAAAATATATTAATTTTTCATTATATTGTCATTAATTAGTGAGTTCATTATAAACAAATATTCATAATGATTTTGGTTATACTGAGTATTTGGTTTACATTGATTGATTAAATTATTTCCAAATTTTGAAAATGTATTTCGACATATAAACTGTTAAAGTTTGCATTGATAAATAGTATATAAATCATTCTATAATTGCCCGTTTTATTTGAAAAAGATACCTCTGTTTCAAATAATAAAAAAATAAAAACAAGTATAAATAATTAGAAATTATTTAGAAATTAATTTTTAAGTACATTTTCAAATATTATTATCACCTTTAAGATTTTCTTCCTTTCATAAAAAAAAATACTTCATTAATTACCACTTATTACATAATCTTTCTTTAAAACAAATTGCGTTAAATGTTGTATCTCTCTTCTCGAACTTGTGTTTTAGCTTTTAATTCCAAGTTTCCGATGTGATGCGCCAATTAATTAATTATCTAAACTGATAATTAATACATCTGTCAGATAAAACTTTCGCCTGTAAATATGTGTACATATATTATCGTATCTTAACGGAAATATAATGATATAGGTGCGCGTGAAAATTTGCTTATTCATATCTTTCTTTAGGGAAGTTCCCTATATTAAAACAGTTGACTAAAAAAAATTAATATTTAACAAAAGATTGATCTCTGCCATTGAGCTCTTAAAAATCGCACAACAATCAAAACACACTTAATTACTCGAATCATAATTAGATTCGAATGTGTGGCGCTCAGTTCTAGAAATTGTACGAGTTGTTCATAGATATATAATATAATAAAATCTATTTTTATTTAAAAAATATTCAATTCATTTTCAAAAGTTTATTATGGACGCCTCAGCTGCAATGAAACAGTGCAGTCGCGTTCCTAATTCCTTCTCTCTCGAATGTCACATACCATTCTCGTACATGAGTGGGAGAGATAATATAACATAATAAAAAGCCTGATATTTCCGATTTGATTCATATAGATTACGAATGTGATCCGATTATTAAAGTAAACGTAAAAAAGAAAAAAAATTATTAAAAAATTTTTAAAAATGTGTGAACGAATGACAGCAATTGATAACAGCAAGGTAAGAAGATATTAAAAAAAAAAATATTTAGTTTGTTCATAAAAAATCAGAATTGATAAAGACTAATGTTTTTTTTAAGAATAAAACGTATTGTGTTTTTTCTTAAATATGTTTTTAATGCTTCAAACAGTATAAAAAACACTATAAAAAAAACATTTAAAACATATTAAAAACATCAATTAAGTATGTTTTAAACTGTTTAAATTACGTTTAAAACATGTTTTTTATCAACCCTGTAAAAAATATACTTTTATTGCATTTATTAAGAATTTAAAAATTGCAAATATTTTTCATTGCTAGAATATTTGTAAATTTCTTGTTTCATAACTCACGTAAAGATTCTTTTAAAATTCTTACAATTCAATAATTCTTATCAATGTACTTCTTTATCGCATAATAGAAATACATGATATTTACTTAAGATACATGCTAAATATAAAGAATTATCGAGCATCTATTGCATCTGTGTATATAGTATTTTTATATTTATATTTATTTTTATATTTATGGATATTATAACCAAGAACTCGGCAATCTTTGTAATATCTTAATAAATCAAATTTATTTAATTATATTTATATTATTTATA